ATAAAATTAAAAACTTAAAAAAATCACTATTTTAAAGATATTTGCATGTTTTTCAATGTTTTTAATATATTTTCTGGCACGCTTGCTGCCAGATTTACTTTTTTTTTTAACAGGATTTTTTTTTTTTACAGTGTAAACCAGCCACACTGTAAAAAGAACCCAACAAGTTTTGTCAGTTTTTTTCTGTAATTCTCTCAAAAATCTAGTGTTATTTCTAAGAGGCTTCTTGGATTAACAGTTAAAACATCACCAAGAACAATCCAGTCGCTTTTACACTCTAAAAAACACAAAAAACAAAAACAGTTTGAATCTTTTTGAGTTGTGACAAATTCTAATGAAATGATGTTTAACCGACAAACTACACTGAGTTAACTGAACTAGCTTTTATTTTTAATTACTTAATGATTGGCAGCATAAACACAACTAATGAAGTTGATTAAAGTTAAGTTGGTCCAACTTGTATTTCCACTGCACTTTAAAATAATGAACTTTTAAGCACCTAATTGACATTATTATGAACATGTGTTTTAAGAGCGCTCCAGATGTAGGAAAGTGGACCTGAAATCTGGTGAAAAGTTTCGTTTTCAAGCCCATTTCATTAAATGACCTCAACTTGAATTTCTTTTTAAATCAACTATCATTAATTTGAGTTTGAATTATGCACATTATTAAGCAGATGTGACATTATTACACATTTTTGCAGCTGAAAATGTTTAACTCAATCAGCTAATTACATTTATTTTATGCATTACTTAATAAAGCGGTGCTCGGTTTACTGAAGCTCCGAGGACAACTGAATCCAGCGTCTCCCTCCCGTATTTAAAACCATCTAACGTCATCTCTGCGCCGCCCGTTGCTCCTTAAATCTGGAATAACGAACACATCGGTCACATCGTGTACGAATCCTAAATGCTGCTGCTGCTGCTGCTGCTCACACAGAAGAACAGAAGAAGTGAATAAAACGGTGACATTAAAAACACAGACGAGGTTCCTTGCAGACATTAAACACTGCTGGTGCAGAAACAGGTTTTGGAACCCTATCGGGGCGTTTCATGGCGTTTTGTGTTTTTACTGGGCACCGTACAAGTCTGAGGGGATTTACTGTAGGTATAGAAACAGACTTTTAGCACCTGTGAGCTCTAAATGTACTCATCTCAAAGCCAAATTTAGATTTAGAGTGATTTTTTATTTGAGCAACAGGATTCTTCTGAGTGGAAATGACATAAACAAGTAACAGTAAGACATTATGTTGGAGTTTAGTGGATTAATTTAACTTTTTCACTAAATGTCACGTCCGAAATTAATCATTATTGTCACCAATTTTGCAGAAAACTCAGTGTTTAGTGTATTAGAGTGCTCTAGAACTTGGTAGAAATTAACAGAAGCCATTTGGAATTACATAGAAGCTGCATTTTCTCAAAGGTTGACAAAAAAATTATATTTTCAAGGGATATAAATACGAATTTTCAGCAAAAAGTGTTTTAAAAAAAAAACAACAACCCTATATTTCAATGTCTTACTGTTTTTTCTCACTCGTTTGTCATTTCCAGGCAGAAAAAAAACCTGCAACTCAAATAAAAGCTTGCTTTAAATCATAATTTCGCCTGGAGATGAATAACTCTGGCCGAAACTGTAATTGTCATTCTGGCCACCAGATGGCGACAGAAAACTCGCTGCATTATTATTATTGTTTGTTTGGATTTTTTTTTGTTTTTTTCCTGTGTTCTTCAGTTTGCGTTCCTCCGCCGGCATCACATCTAGAGGAGAACACATTTGGAGGACTTTTTCTCTGTGCTGCTGGTGATCTTCACCTCCCGACCCGTGGGACCCTGTAAAACCAGGACAGGATGAGAAATCACAAACTCATCCGGGACGCTGAGCGGGAGCGTTTTGTTTAAAAAGAAAGACACGGTCCTTAGAGGTGAGTGTCGCCCTCTCGCTGTGACGTCTCCAGACAGTTAGTTCAGACCAGATTTCTGTCTAAATTAACGGTCAAAGATCTGTAATTACAATTATAATGAACATAAAACCTGCATGTATGGAAACATCAGTTAAATCTGCCAAAAAAGACGCCGCATGGATTAAACTTTAATCACTCAAAGTATTCCTGCTCTACAGCTAATCAGAGAATAGTTTTATACCTGTAAGTTTCTTGTTTATGATGCGATATTTCAGGGTAACAAACATAAACATAGACGATGATCGTATAGAGAAACAGTGAAGGTCTAGTAGATGTTATCTGCTGGTTTGGAGTCATTAATGTGGTTTTAGATGATCATCACTGTGTTTGGTGTTTATTCTGACTAACCGGCTTCTTGTTGGACTTCTGTAGGATGTCTCGTGCCAAAGCCAGAAAAGACTGCAGGATGTAAACACAGTAAACACACGTTAAGCCGGCGGCCGTAATAAAACGAGGTCGACTGATAAACGCCGCTGCCGCCGCTCACCTCCTCGACGTTGATGCTGGACTTTGCACTCGTCTCGAAGAACCTGATGCCGTGGTCTTTAGCCAACTGTAAAACCAACAGAGGCGGTTACAGCTGAGCAGGGTGTGGACGAGCACAACCACCTCCTGCTGCTTATCTAAAGTCAACCATCAAACTCTCCCACAGCCTCTGGAATACAAACTCTCTTTTATTTCCTCAGTGATCGATGCATTAAAACCCGCTGCTGCTTCCGAACAACATTATTTTTCCAAATCAGAATTCACACCTCACCTTTTCTCCCGTCTCCTTGGAAACTTTCCTCTTGGCCTCGATGTCGCACTTATTGCCTAGTAGCATCCGACTGACCCCGGCCGATGCATTCTGGGAGAGAGGAGGGAAGCAGTGTACTGATCGGGACGAATTGAAGCCAGAGAGATTTAAAGCAGATACATTATAGCCAGAATGATGCACTGTACAGCAGCGCTTTTCTCCATTTAAGCCCCAGAAACGTCTTGAAACAGGAACGATGTTTCACAAACCGCGTCTACATGTTGTCGCTCATTATCCAAAACTAATCTCTCAAAGCGACTGGCAGCTTGTAGGCTACAAATAAAAGCTTATAATTACTCCTGACAGCAACACATGTGAGTTAGATGCAAATTAAAGGCGTAAAAAACTATTTTATTTCATGCAAAGTTATTAAATATTAACGGAAAGGGTCCAAATGGAATAAAAAGTTAGCGTCCTCAAATGTATTCACACCCTTCCATTAAAAAAAAGGCAAAATTCACACTCAAATAAGTAGAAACTGACAAAAGTAATAATAAACAAAAAATTGCTAAATTAGAATTTAGTAAAACAAGATGTTGCTTTTGAATTGTGGTTGAAAAGAATAATTTAAAAAAAATAGAAAATGACAAATGAGAGGCCTTTGCTGATGAGCAGTGGTCCAGAATAACTGTCAACAGGAGCAGAAGTCTGACTGAGAGTTACAGGAAACACCTGATGGCAGTGATTGGCTCAAAGATCTTAGTTTATGGGTCCCATCATGCTTGTTTGTATTATTTAATTATTATTTTAAATATTTCTGTTGAACCACAATTCAAACGCGACGTCATGATTTTCATTATTTTTTAAATGTATTATTACTTTTGTCAATTTCAGCTTATTTCAGTGACTGAAGCTGTTTTGTTCCTCCTTTAATGGGAGGCTATGAACACATTTGAGAACGACTGCAGCGATGCACCGACACTGGGTTGCTGATTACATCATTACATTATATATTTTTAGTCTGGATCGACTCAGTGTGAATTTTAAAGTCATTTACAGGAAGCGTTTTGCTGCTTGTTGCTGCTACGTGGATGTTTGAACGTTCAAGTTTATCTGCATCTTTTAGAATAAAACAGAATCTTTATCGTCATTGAAACAAGTACAAC